TGCAAATTCCACCGTTCCAGGTTCTGAAACACCTGGAACCGTTCCAGGGTGATTCTGGAAGCTTGACGCTGACCGTTTCAGTTTCCAGAAGCACCCTGGAACCGTTCCGGAGCCATCTGGAGCCAGTTCCTTACAGAAGGCCTTGTTAGGCTCCTTACAGAAGGCCTTAGTGGGCTCCTTACAGAAGGCCTCATTGGGCTCCTCACAGAAGGCCTTTCTGGGCTCCTTACCGAAGGCCTTATTGAGCTCCCTGCAGAAGACCATATTCAGCTCCTTACAGAAGGCCTTATTGGGATCCTTGCAGAAGGCCTTCCTGAGCTCCTTACAGAAGGAAAACCTTTTTGAGCTCCGTACAGAAGGACTTATTGGGCTCCTTACAGAAGGTCTTATTGGGCTCCTTACGGAAGGCCTTATTTAGCTCCTTACAGAAGGCCTTATCAAGCTCCTTACAGAAGGTTTGATTGAACTCTGTACTGAAGGCCTTATTGGGCTCCATGCAGCCGCGAGAAAAAGGTTCCCAAGTCAGAAATCTCATTTGGAAAATTACCATTGTGGGAGCTCGGGTACCCCCCCATCTCCGAGAGAGCCGCTTTGCGCTGGGAGAGGGTTCCAGATGGATTTTCACCCTGGAACGGTTCCAGGGTGAAAATCCAGCTAGGACCTCCCGACGCTGAGCAGGAGAGCCCAGCCGCGAAAAACAAGCTCGCCAATACAAAATTGGTTGGGAAAATTACCATTTTGGGAGCTCGGGTACACCCCCCCATCTTCGAGAGAGCCGTTCTGCGCTGGGAGAGGGTTCCAGATGGATTTTCACCCTGGAACGGTTCCGAAGTGAAAATCCATCTGCGACCTCCCGACGCTGAGCGGGAGAGCCCAGCCGCGAAAAACAAGCTCCCCCATAAGAAATCTCATTTGGAAAATTGCCATTTTGGGAGCCCGGGTGCAACCCCCCATCTCCGAGAGAGCCGTTTTGCGCTGGGAGAGGGTTCCAGATGGCTGTTCACCTTGGAACGGTTCTGAGGTGAAAATCCAGCTGGGACCTCCCGACGCTGAGCGGGAAGGCCCAGCCGCGAAAAACAAGCTCCCCAATACAAAATTTGGTTTGGAAAATGGCCAATGTGGGAGCTCGGGTACACCCCCCCATCTCCGAGAGAGCCGTTTGGCGCTGGGAGAGTGTTCCAGATGGATATTCACAGTGGAAAGGTTCCGAGGTGAAAATCCATCTGGGTTCTCCCGTCGCTGATCGGGAGGGCTCAGCAGCGAAAAACAATAAGAAATTCCGTGGGGGAAACGGCCATTTTGGGAGCTCGGGCACCCCCCCCCATCTCCAAAAGAGCCGTTTTGCGCGGGGAGAGCGTCCCAGATGCATCTTCACCCTGGAACGGTTCCTGGGTGAAAATCCAGCTAGGAACTCCGACTCTGAGCGGGAGGGCCCGTCGGAAAAACAAGCTCCCCAAAAAGAACGTTCATTGGGAAACTTACCATTTTGGGAGCTCGGTTACACCCCCCCATTTCCGAGAGAGCCGTTTTGCGCTGGGAGAAGGTTCCAGATGGATTTTCTTTCACCCTGGAACGGTTCCGAAGTGAAAATCCATCTGGGACGTCCCGACGCTGAGCGGAGGGCCCAGCCGCGAAAAACAAGCTCCCCAACAAGACATTTCATTGGGGAATTGCCCATTTTTGGGGGCTCGGGTACACCCCGCCCGCATCTTCGAGAGAGCCGCTCTGCGCTGGGAGAGGGTTCCAGATGGATTTTCACCCTGGAACGGTTCCGAAGTGAAAATCCATCTGCGACCTCCCGACGCTGAGCAGGAGGGCCCAGCCGCGAAAAACAAGTTCCCCAATAAGAGATGTCATTTGGGAAATTGCCATTTTGGAGGCTCGGGTACCCCCCCCATCCCCGAGATGCACCCACAAGGCTCCTGAGAGCGCCCAGATGGAACATCACCCGTTTCAGGTTTCAGTTTTCACCCCGGAGCCGTTCCAGGGTGTTTCTGGAACCTGAAACGGGTCGATGCAGTAGCCCTCCCTTCGCGCAGTGACTCTTGCGATCCAGATGCGCCGCGGGGCAATAGGACGGAGGCAGAGGAAGGAGGAGGGCATACACGTCGAGGAAGGGAGATCGCGAGGAACACCGCCACGCGCTACGCCCGCGTTGCAGACAAACGCTAATCCCGACATCACATAACCGCGCCATGGCGACGGCAGCTCCGCGGGAAGGGCGAGGTCTATTTCTGTTGTGGGTGGGGCACCACCCCGCTGGACCTCCCAGGAGCCCACGGACGTGGCGACAGTTTCGCAGATCGCAGGCCCCCCCCCCCAGGGAGTGACGGCGAGGTCTACTTTGTGTCTGCGTAGGACACGACTGCGCTGGCCCTCTGCGACCGCTTCACAAGTTGCAGCCCCCTGAGGACGGCGACTGCGTGGGGCGCCCCTCCGCTGGCCCTCCCAGAAGCCCACGGACGTGGTGGCAGCGTCGCAGTTCGCAACCCTCCCAGGGACCGCGAGATTCCAGCCTGATTTGTGTTGGGCACCGCCCTGCTGGACCTCCCAGGGGCCTGCGAACGTGCCGACAGTTTCGCTATTCGCAGCCCCCCCCCCAATCTTGGGAGAGTTCGGCCACCTCGGAGCCGCCTCAGGCGCTGCAGGAGGGGGGGGGGGGGGCGTTCGGAGAGCCCGCCAGGGCGTAGCGTGGTTCAGATCGAAGACACGGCCGCCTCGGATCGGAACAGGGCTGCACCTAAACGCTGGGTGTCGCTGGACTCCGGCTGGGTGTTGACGTTCGTGCCTGGGAGGGACGTGCGGGAAACCAGGCAGAGCAAGCCGAACAGCAAAACCATACCACATCGAGCACCAACGTTTGGGTCCAGCCCTGGAGCAGAGTCGGGATTGCCGGCAGGCAGAGGCTCGGCGGGAGGAGGCGCGGGGGACGGCAGGGGGAGGGGGAGGGGGAGGAGGAGGAGGAGGAGGAGGAGGAGGAGGAGGAGGAGGAGGAGGAGGAGGAGGAGGAGGGAGGAGGCAGGAGGAGGAGGAGGAGGAGGAGGAGGAGGCAGGCAGAGCAGGCAGGCAGGCGGGCGGCAGGAGGAGGGCAGGGGGGAGGTGCACGTGCGAGGGGCCCCCCAGGACGAGAGCCCCGCCACGGGAGGGTCGGGAGCAACCAGGGGCAGAGGACTCTCTCTCTCTACGCACGGGTCTTTGGCGAGGGAGAGAGGGGGGGGCAGACCATTGGGAATCTAATGAGGGAGAGCGGGAGAGAGAGAGAGAGAGAGAGAGAGAGAAAGAGGAGAGAAAGCGGGAGAGAGAGAGAGAGAGAGAGAGATAGAGAGAGAGAGAGAGAGAGAGAGAGAAATGTTGAGAGAGAGAGAAGTAGATATATATATATTATTGTATTGATACGGGTACCTGAGAGAGTAAGGAAGAGAGAGAGAGAGAGAGAGAGATAAAGAAGAAGAGCGAGAGAGAGAGAGAGAGATGAAAAGAGAGAGAGAGAGAGAGAGAGAGCGAGAGAGAGGGAGAGGGGACGAGATAGAGAGAGAGGGGTAGCAAGGGAATGACATGGTGTGTGTGTGTGTTTTTTTGGGGGGGGAGGGTGTGTGTGTGGTGTGTGGTGTGTGGTGTTGTTGGTGGGTTGGGGGGGGGTGGGCAGGGAAATAGAGAGAGAGAGAGAGAAAGAGGGAGACAGAGGGAGCAAGAGGGAGACAAGGCACAGACATATATTTGTGTATATATATATATATATATAGAGAGAGAGAGATAGTAAACAAAAAAGAGCACACGGCATATGATATGAAAGCGAAGTTCCGCGTGCTGTTTCCTGCGCTGGATTTCCAGCGTTGATGGTTCGTATGGTTTTGCAGTCCGCTTGGTTTCGGTGCTTCACAACTTGGGTTCCCGCTCTGCAGCGTGGGCCACAGCTTCGGATCGGTGCTCTGCTCCCGTCGTTCAGACTGGCGCTCGCGCCCCAGCGCGGGCCACTTTTCTGAACCCGAGTCCTTCAGCGACGTCGCCCCCTCATTTCCCATCCTCCGCCCTCCCTGGTCCTCCTGTTCCTCCCGCTCTTCCCGCTCCGGTTCCTGCTGCTGCTCTGCGTCCTCCTCGTTTTTCCTCCCGCTCATCCTCCTGCTCACCCGCCACTTCCTCCTCCTCATCCTTCTCCTGCTCCTCTCACTTCTCTGCACGTAGCTCCCCTTCCCCGATTGCGCATGCCAGGCCGTGGTAGTTATTTTGTTGGGGTTAAAGGTCGGCTATGGCACGCGCCTGCGGACAGCGAAACAAAGACAGCGCACATGGGAGGGGCAAGGGTGGGAGGAAGGGGGCATGATGTCCAATGGGGCGCGAGCGCACCTAGCTCCTCTTGACTCCTCTCTCCCTTCCCCCGTTTTTTTTCCACCACCCCATGTCTTTCTTCACACATCTCCGTCATTAGCGCTCTGCTAGCTGTCCCACTGATCCTTGTCAGGAATGATTGATTCGTTTAATGTATCTCTCCTCCTGTCCCCTATCCCTCCCCGTTCCCCTCTCTCTCTCTCTCTCTTTTTTCTCTCGCTCACTATCTGCCTCACTCTTGCTTTCTGCCTGTCTCCCTCGGAGTGCTTGGGATCGTGGAAGCAGCCGCGCAACAACCTGGGGCAGCGAATAGCCGAGGAGCTGGGCTCGGTGTGCAATTTTGGAGCTCGGACGGATGGTGGGGAGCTGGTCTTGTGGTGTTGATGCCTGTGTCGACGCATCGAACCTACGAGAAAGTCAACAAATCCGTCGCGCGCGTCCAATCTCACTCCCTCTCTCTCACCTCCCGCGTGCCTCCCTCACACATCTTCTCGCGGTACCTCTGCCTTCCAGGCACTCCCCGTCTCAATTTTTTCGAGATACGGGCCCCCGACCTCCCGACCACTTTCCCGGGACCGCTGTTTTTTTGTTGTTGTTCTTGACTTGACAGTCCCGAGGCCTGGCGAGGGCACCGAGGGGCCAAAAGCTACGAAGAACCTTTGTTTCAATCTCTGTTGCGAGACGCCCCGTGTCTGGGCTCGCCGCCTGCCGCCCGCAGCGCCGCCGCCCCCGCCGCGGCCACCTTTGTGCTCAGCAGCGCGGCCGGGTCTGGTCTGGCCCAGATGTCGAAGCCTCCTCGGGCCCACCGGGGCGGGGGCGGCCACGAGGTTCGGGCGGGTGGTAATGCTCAGAGGCAACGATCGGGGGGATAGGCATAGGGAGGGATGCATCCACCCCGAATCGCCCATTGATCGCCGATAGGGGCCCGATCGCCCTAGGGGCCTGATAGCCCCAACCTGCACAGGAAGATGCGGATCCACTATCGGGGGCCTATCGCTGATCTATCGGGGACGTATCGCCGATTCCAGGTCGATGCGTCCCCCCTATGCCAGTCCCCCCCTGTCGTTGCCCCTCAAGTGTTCAGTCGGGCACGTTTTTCGAGAAGAGGGATATTCAAACATAGTCTTGAACAAACCAGCCTGGGTACGATGTTTCGACTATTTCTGGCCATGTTTGAACATTTTGGGATTCTTGTCAACCTTCCCTCCAAAATCCGCCTGTAGGGGGACATGCCCGACCTAATGGTAATGGGCGGTGACCTCCGTGGTGTGTGTGTGTGTGTGACGAAAGAGGGCTCTGAATGGGGGCTCTTCTAGAGATCCTCTTGGCCCCTGCGGGCTCCACGAGGGGCCTTACAAAGGGCCCCCACAGGGCCCTTTTCTTGGCCCCCCCCATGTATGGGTCACCCCATCATTGCCGCCCGCCCGACAGGTGCAGGTGCTGACGTGGCCTACGCGCCACCCCTCGAGGCACGTGCCCGGAGGATGAAGGGGAAGTGGGACGGGAAGGACTCGGACGGAGCCAGGACGAAGATAAATCCGTTCCAGAGCCACCAGATCCTAGAGATTCTCGATTCTCGATTCATCCTCACCCGATCTGCTGCTCGCCCTGGCTTCATCTTAAGAGCGAGGAGACTGATGGGGAGGCTGGCTGTCGGAGGAGGAACGTGGAACTCCTGCCGCCTCCCCTCCCCTCGTTTCTGCCTTTTGGGGGGGAGGGCCTCCTGGGAGGCCCGAGGACCCCTCGGCGCCACCGTCTGCCTCGCCTCGAACTTCGGGTCAGAACGCACCCCTGGAGAGCTCCAGGGAGCAGCGGTCTCGGCACCTCTCGGGCTCCCCCAGAAAAGGTGGCCGGGGAGGGCGAGGAGCAGGGAGCGTCTGCGGAAGAGTGCGCGGGGAGGGATGCGGGCCAAGAGCAGGTCGGCCAGGAGTGGGACTATAGCGGTCGGACGGCTCGCAAGGCCGGAGGAGTCAGCGGGCCCGCCTGCTCCCACCAGCTGTCCCATGAGAGAGGAGCCAATGGCGGCACACCTTGGCACTTGGGCTGGAACGCATTCGAACCCAGCGAATGGGAGACGTTTTCCCGCCTTGGTGCGGCGCTCCCTTCTCCCTCGTCTTTCTTCCTCCTCCTCCTGCTCCTCCTCCTCCTCCTCCTCCTCCTCCTCCTCCTCCTCCATCGCCTTCTCCATCGCCCTCTCCCCATCGCCTCCTCGCCCTCCCCATCGCGGGCCATTTGCCTCCTCCATCGCCCTCTCCCTCCGGTTTCTCCTCCATCCCCCCCTCCTCCTCCTCCCTCCTCCTCCTCCCTCCTCCTCCTCTCCTCCTCCTCCCCTCCTCCTCCTCCTCCTCCTCCTCCTTCTCCTCCTCCTCCTCCTCCTCCTCCTCCTCCTCCTCCTCCGCCTCCTCCTCCTCTCCCCCCCTGGTCTGGGTCAGATGCTATACGGCCGCAGGCTCGCAGGAGACGCCTTGGGCGGTTGGCGCAGGGCTCAAACAACAAACCCCCAAAGGCTTGGCGAGTGGACAAGATGCGCCATGCTGAAGCGGGAACGACACTTGCAAGCAAACGCTAGTGGGCAACCAGGCGAAAGCGACATCTTCGTCGCTCGCGCTCGGCGAATGGTCGATCCGACGATGTGCGCCGCGCCCATGCGGGAGCCCAAGCGTCCGAGGTAGGAATTTATACATGACCACCGCCTGGAGGATCAATTTTCGGGGCCTCGGCAGGCGGTGGATTGGACATATTCGGGTCCCAGGGGGGGCACAATATATCCACATACACCGCCCGCTGGGGCGCGAGGACGTTGGTTCCCATGTGGTGGATGTGGATGAATCCTTGCCTCGCAAAGCGGGAGCCCAAGCAAGCGTGTTGCAATGTCGAGTGAGCGCGCCGAGACAGCACTGCCACATTCACCCATCACACATCGGTTCCACCCCAACATACTGATACTGTGGGTGCGTCGGCCCCCCAGGGGCGACGCACGCACCGAGAACTCTTCTAGCATGTGCGTCGTGGCGCGCGCTCTCTGGCCACACCGCTCGGGGAACGATCTACTACAAGATGGATGTACCATATGTGGGGTTCGGACGCGCACCTCCAAGGAGAACATATAGTACTCCAGATTTCGTAATAAAAGGGAGGGGGTCTGGACCCTCCAAGACAAGCCATTTCAGACCTCCCCCGTGGGAGAACCCTCCAAAACATCGTCCCCAGACCCCCCAGGCCCTTCAAGATAGCCTGGAAGAGACCCCCCCCGAAATGTGACCCCCTCCCTTTTATTACGAAATCTGGAGTACTCGTATGCCTGTGTGCGTCCCAACACAGACTGCGCGGCGCTCAGGCGAGGACGGCGTTTTGCCCGCCCAGTGCGCGGCCGCCCGCTCGCGCGTCGACGAGCGCTCGAGCTCAGGACGTGCTCCGCGCCCGTGCGGGGAGCCCCGCTCTCCAAGAGCCACGCGCTCGGCGCCGAGAGCGACATGGCGCCTTTTCGCGCGAGGTGCACACGTGGTTCATGTCTAATGCTTCGAGAGTTCATTGATGCTCTGGGGGGCCAAGATCCTTTCCTTTCTAGCTGTTCCATCCTGGGCCTCTTCCTGGCCAGTAGGGGGCCAGGACTAATCAGAACTGAGCCCAACGCACACTTGGAAAGGAGCACGATCAGAAACGAACGACGTGTACTCCCGTCGCGCATGTTGCAATGCCGACGCCCAAACTTCCTTGCTGCAAGGGAGCACACCCGGTTTGGACTGGCCTCGGACGGGCAGGAGGGGCCCTCCCAGATCCGGCTGCCGTCTGCCGGCTGCGGCCTGTGATTTTTTCCCGCAGGAGCACGGGCGGATGGGCTGGGGAGTGGAGGTGCGGAGCGAGAGGTGGCGGAGGAAGATACGGGCAACCCGCAGAGTAAGGGGTGGGCGACCTTCCCCAGGGTACCCTTGCATCCTTGCCTCCTCGGTCAGTCCTTCGCCGCTGTCGCTGGCCGCGCCCCGGTCGAAGAGCTTCGAAATGGGCATCCGAGGCCCTTGGATCCTTACCGCGCATCCTTACTGTGCGGGCCGACTGTACGGACGAGGATGAGGCGGAGGAGAGATGAGTGGGTCGGCGGAGGATTATAGGCACGAGCAAGATGGGAGAGGCTGGGAGGGAGGATGTGGAAGGATAGGAGGCGGAGGTGGACGGGAGCATGACAAGGTGGAGGAGGTGTATGTGGGTGAGTGGTTGGGCACAATGGGGGGGTAGCAGCAGCAGCAGCAGCAGCAGCAGCAGCAGCAGCAGCAGCAGCAGCAGCAGCGAGGAGGAGGAGCAGGAGGAAGAGGAGGAGGAGGAGGAGGAGGAGGAGGAGGATCATAAGTAGAAGCATGGTCGCGCCTCCTGCCGTATCCCCTTCACCTCCTCACTCTCCCCTTCCTCAGCTGCACCTTCTCTCTTCTCCCTCCCGCATCCCCGTCATCTTCACGCTTCCTCTCCTGCTTCACCCGCCACCGCGAGTTGACAGCAGCTTCCACGGCACTGGCGCATGGACTGAGGAAGCTGAAGCACCGCTGGCCGCAGCATTTGATGCCTTCACGCAGGTTAGGCTACATGGCCTCACCTCTGCTTCTCCTGCTCGTATTGCGAAGGCCTTACGGCCGGTACCGCCGACCCTGAAAGGAGATGACGACGACGACGACGACGGCGGCGGCGACGACGGCGACCACTTCCTCGTACAGTCGGCGCGCATCGGCATGTCGACCCTGCAAAGTCAAGGGTACTCTTGTGTCTTGTCCATCCCTTCTCACGGCCTCTGCGTGTTCGGACGAAGGGTGCCCTCGTGTCCTGTGGCTGTCGGAGGCCCTGCTGCCGTCGGAAGAGTCTCGTGTCCTGTCGCGTGCCCCCCCGTATGCGCTCCGACTGTTTGAAGTGTCCCTCCCTCCTCCCTCCCCCCTCGGCCCAGCACCGCCTCATGGGCCGGCCGCCGGGGTACTGCCACAAGCGAGGCCCACGCCGCACCCGTGCGCCAGGCGTCTCTCTCTCGCCACGCCAGGAGCTCCCTCACATGATCGCGCGTAGGGCTGTCCCGCTGGGCAGCCACGCCTGCCGCGCAGAGGCCCGCTATCGCCGTGCCCGCGTCGAGCCCCCCCCCCCCCACACACACACACACAAAAAACTCACCTCCGCGCTCCCTTCTCGGGCCCACCCCCCTAGTCCCTTCTTTGGGATGCAGCTCCTGGGAGGTCAGATTCGGCATCGGCGCTGGTATGTCTTTGGCCGAAACGCCAGCCCAATCTGGCAGAGTCCCGCCTAATTCTTTGTGAACCCGTTAATACCGGGCTCCGTCTCAGGCTTCATCCAGCATCGTGGCGCCTGAGTCGGGCTTAATGGCCCTGAAACGCTCTTACGAAAGACCGTCTAGGAGTTGCTTCCTGACCTTCTCCCTTCCCGGCGCCGGGCCGCCCGCTGCAATGCTGGACAGAGCACATCACCACTTCTACAGTCGACCAACATAGGAAGGATGGGCAACCTTCCCCAGGGCACCCTTGCATCCTTGCCTCCTCGGTCCATCCTTCGCCACTTTCTTTGGCCGCGCCCCGCTCGAGAAGCTTCGAACTGGGCGTCCAAGGCCCGTTCAACCTTATCGTTGTGGAAGTCGATTCATGGAGGGGGAGCACGCTGCCAAATAATTTCCAGATGTCTAGGAGGT